TATGCAGTTGTTTAGTGCAGTATTTTGTTTCTGTTTGGTACCAAGCTCCAGCACGAGTCGTATTGTTGTGGGGAGATTCTTAGTTCTGTTCTGCCTTCCCGTCCATTGCTTGGAATAGTCCTCTCCCTTGGGACAGGGAGGGTTCAGATCTTGTTGGTGAGCTCTTCTCCTCTGTAGCCTTGTGACCTCCTCACTTACTGCTCCATTCTAGTCTGTGTAGTTCTGTTAAATCAGTGTGTCCAGTTCCTCAGCCCTCCTTTTTCCAAACAAAAGATTGCTTTCACTTCAGCATTGACGAATGTGGTTTTGCTTTTCCTCTGCTTCAGCATGGATTATCCAGGTTTGTGAAGCCAGAACTTCTAGGATGCCACCTGCTAGTAAGAGAATGTCTTTTTCTTTCTTGCAGGCAATTACTATTGAGGCTGAGCCCCGTGCTGACGGCAGCCGTAGGACTACGCGTTATGACATTGACATGACCAAGTGCATCTATTGCGGATTCTGCCAGGAAGCCTGTCCTGTTGACGCCATTGTGGAGGTGAATGGAATGGATATTTTCAGTAACAGGATACCGTTTTGTCTGCCAATTCTAGATTTGTATCTGGAAGGTGGAGCTACTGAAAAAGAGAATGAGCAAAGTGTCTAGTTTTTGGTGTGAAAAGTATATGGAAGACTTGATCTGACTACATATTTTGCTTGTGTTCTTCAGGGTCCCAATTTTGAATATTCAACTGAGACACACGAAGAACTTCTGTACAACAAAGAGAAGCTGCTCAATAATGGTGACAAGTGGGAAGCAGAGATTGCTGCTAACATACAAGCTGACTATTTGTACCGATGATGGAGTACTTATTTCACCCATCCCACATTCTCACCAGCCAGCTGAACTGAAACCAAGCCTGCAATAAAGGGCATGCACTCATTGTTTCTTTTTGGTTTTTGCTGTGTTTTGAGAATGAAGTAGTAATGTACAGAATTCCTTGGGTTATTGTAGGATGTAGTTGTGTGTTTGTGAGTAGAGAGAAGGTGGAAGCAAGTACCCTCCCTCCCCATCCTTTTCTTCTTCTTCTAATGCCACACATCTAGTCTTACAAT